TCAGCATCATCGTTATCATCACCATCACCATCATTACCATCACCATCATTACCATCACCACCATCATCATCATCACCATCATCATAGTGTTGTATACATCATCATCATCATCATTATCATAGTCATCATCGTCATCATCATTATCATAGTCATCATCGTCATCATCATCACCATCATCATCATCATCACCATCATCATCATCATCATCGTGGTGTTAATAGCATCATCGTTGCAATAATAATGAATAAAAAAAGAAATTTTAGTTTTTGTTGAGATTCCTCAATGATGAAATCATCATCATCATCGTCATTAATCATTACAATCATTGTCGTTGTCGTCATCATTATTATCATCACCATCGACGTCAAATCAACAACAACATTAACAACAACAACATCAACAACATCAACAACAACCCCAAAATCATCAACAACATCAACAACAACATCAACAACAACATCAACGACAACATCAACATCATCAACAACAACAACAACATCAACAATAACAACAACATCAACAACATCTACAACAACAACATTAACAACAACCTCAACAACATCAACAACAACACATGAAAACAAGTACGGCAATATCGTCCCAGTTAAAAACATAAACATAATTTATATGGTCAAGAAAAACATAAACAACGGAATTGTAAACAAGCAAAGAAATACCAACAAAGAAACAAAGATGTCGTAAACATGAATAGAAGAGACTCGCATACGCTCACTCACTCACTCACTCACTCATTCACTCGCTCGCTCACTCACTCACTCACTCACTCACTCACTCGCTCGCTCGCTCACTCACTCACTCACTCATCTCTTCATCATCATCTCATCATCACAATCTTGTTATTTGTCATACGCCGAGTTGTTATCATCCCATCATCATTGTCGTCGTCGTTGTCATCATCATCATTCACAATCATCAACAACAACAACAACAACATAATCATCATCATCAACAACAACAACATCATCATCAAAAGCAACATCATTAACAACAATATCATCATCATCAACAACAACAACATCATCATCAACAACAACAACAACATCATCATCATCAACAACAACAACATCATCATCAACAACAACAACAACAACATCATCAGCAACAACAACAACATCATCATCAACAACAACATCATCATCATCATCATCATCTGATATGAACTAACCCGCAAAACACAGAGCAATGCATCAGCGAATATTCAAAATATTATTTACAACTCTACAAACACGTTGAAAAAAGCGGGAAATAACACCAAACATCACGAACGCTCACACACACACACACGCACAAACGCACACCTAAACACACGCACACACACGCACATGCATATACACGCAAACTCACGCAAACACACAAACTCACACAAACACACACATACACTTTCAAATAAGTATTTTGTTAATTACAATCTGTTAATTCGCTATTTTATAATTTGTCGTTCCCTTCCGGATTCAGCATGCATATATNTTTCAAATACGATCATGCTTGTGAACTACTTTAAAACTTCTCTAGACGCTGTAG